CTTTTAGAATTGAATTGGAAGAGATTGTTGTGTATACTTTGTGGCCGCCGGTAAAATAGTCCTAAACCATGCAAAATATTGCAAATATTATATTCGTAATGAATTGAGTTCTTGCGTGTATATTTCAAGATGTTACATCAAATCCTCTTTCATTTTTGTGTACTGTTTACACCTCATATTTTCGTAGACGTTAGGTGATCCGGTTAACTATTGATATCTAAGTAGTTTGTTGTGGAGTAGTACTTAATTTTTTATGGAAAATGCTTGCTATATTTGATAACTTCCATTTATTCGAAATGTAGAAAAGTTCTTTGAAGAAAAGCCAATTGGATTGTGTAATTCAGTGGTCTATTCATACCTCACTCACACTACTCAACATATCGTCATTCTAAAGATAGTGGAGTCGTACATTTTCTTAATGATTGTTTCTTTCTCAAAAACAACCATTTAGCATTCATTTAGCAAATTTGGTGTCAAAGGTGATGAGGCCTTCAAGTTTTTTTTTCTCCAACACGGGTTTAAGTAATTTTTTTTTTTTTTTTGAAACTATGGGTTTAAGTATTGAAATCACATATTTTGACAACTTTCTGTATAGTTGTTGTGAAGGTATATATAATAACAATTAATTTTGACTAATCTCTTCTAATCCCTTGTACATTATTTAGAAAGTGACTCTTCCAAAAAATCTTACGTGCCTTCTCACGAATCTTTCTCCCAAAATTTATTGTGACACGGAATGTGACATGATAAAATTGAGAAAATATTTATCCTACTAATTTAGTCCACTAAAACTTATACCTACTAAAATTAATCTCATAAAACTACTAATTTAGTCCACTCAAACTACACCCACGAAAATTATTTATTAGAATTAAGTTTTTGTGACAAAACTAATTAAATTTTTATTATAATTAAAAATATTTATTAGAATTTAGTTTATTGTGACAATAATGTTTTGTAATTATCTTCTGTGAAAATTGCAAACAAGAACTACGAATACATTTGATCATTTTAGGAGTGTTTTATAGAAAAATTTATAAAAATTGATTAAACATTTTTTGTAATTTATTTAGTTTTTTTTATAAAAGAAAACTATTCTTTAATATCAACTCAAACAATATTTGATAATTTTAATGAATATAACGAACGATATACGAAATTTAATTATGGAAAAATTTGCAATATACATATTTTAGCATATACATATTTCAATATTATCATATCTATATCATAAGATTGCTCTCCAAGTTGCAATCTCCTAAATACATACATACCAAAATAAATTTCTTACAAAATATTTTATAAATAAATTTTGTATTTATTTTTCTAAATAAATCAATTAATAACTCTCAATAATATTTCTTTCAAATTGAAGTTTAATATTTTTTCTGTATATTTGATAATATTTGTCGTTTTTAATTAAAAATTTGTAAACACAACAGTTAATCCGCATATAATCCGGAGAATCAACTAATATTTTTTTAATAGAATTGTATTAGTCGATATGATTAATCCATATGAATTTCTTAATTATTTTTCACAATGCTTTAAGGGAAAAAACGTACAAAAAGTAATGTGTAACCAAAAACCACGGTAACACCGCACCATACGGTACGCCCATTCACATCAATTAGGTCAATTAATAATCATTCTTATGCTGTGTGGAGACAAAATGAGAAAATGATGGGACGTGAAAGCTGAATGAAACAAATTTTTAGTGGATTGTAACGTACATTATCTCTATTGTTGAGAAAGTGACATCTTCATACACAAATATTCGTTACGTGCTTGCTGACTTTAAAGAAATTTGGGAGAATGAGCTTGCTCGGTCTGCATTTATTGGTTCGTGAGGTTTTCTTTCTGAGATAGTTCATGAAAATCTTCTCTTAGTTGTTCTCGCATAACACTCGTGTGTGTTCGAAAACTTTGAAGACCTTCTCGTTAACAGCTCAATTTGGGGTTTTCAGTGAAAGGTTTTTAGTGTCAACGTGGTTTGGTTAGGTGGTTTTGCACCTTGTTTCTACTTCCTCTTCTCGAGCATCCGATTTAGCGAGGGCAAGAATATCATCACTTCACTACTCCATTAGCTTTCGTGCTCTTTTTAAGTTATGGATTGAAAATCGTAATATAATATCCTTCTATGTTTTTATTTTTTTTGCCATGAAATTATTTTCTAAGTTTTATATTGTTTCGGCTTATAAACCTAAAACGTTTTCATTTTATATAAAATATTTACATTCTTAGCAAAACAAAAAAAAATCGTTACTCTACTACATTGCTTTTCAAGTCATCTCTAATACATTTCGTTTGGTGTTATAGTGATCTTAATGCTAATGAAGAAGGATTAGGCCATCATTGTTTGTTTGCGTTTACATTTTTTATGCTTGAATAATTAGGATACTATAACATGAAAAATGCAAACGCAAAAAAAAAAAAAATCATGGGTAATTATATAATACAACACTAACGAAAAGTATAAACGATAGAGATCAATCTTGATGAATATATAGCTAAAACTTCATGTATCTTAATGACTTGATTAATATGTGATTAAGAGTCTAGTTTTCTTAGACTTATTATTATTGAAATTTTGTTGTTTAGCATAAAAATGTACGTGGCAAAGATTTATCGAAAAACGACTAATGCTCGAGACTTTTGAAAAAAGATCAGAGTAAGAATGCGAGAGATTCCACTTCGATTGGAGTCCTATATGCATGCCTTCTCTCTTTAATCTTTATCACTTTAGCAGATGGTTGGGACCACATTCCACTACGGTATTACATCGTATCTTCTTCAATTGTACATGAACCTAAACAAATAATTACAAAATAACTATGAATGAAGTGAATATATATTCTTTTTACTTCCTAATTCATTCGTGATTTCCAAAATGATTACATAAAGATAAGAACATATATTGTTTAGCAAAAAAAAAAAGATAAGAACATACACATATTCGTGTGCAAGATTTATATATCAGATTCAAAGCACATTAGAATGAGAGATCAATAGGAAAAAGAAAAAAAAGCAAGAATATATGATGATAGTCGATGTCTTTGGCCTATTGACTCGAGATGCAGCCGAACGCAAGAGTCTATGGAACTACGGACAAAAAAGAAATATAAAAGCAACTCCATTTTTATTTCTCTC